TAGGTCAAAGATTAGCTCGCCGAGTGTTGTGTCGATGTCCAATCTCCCCGCGAGCCACACCGCATCTCCGAGGGCACAAGAGTGCGCAAGAGTTATTAGCAGATGCCTATTGTTTCAAGTTAGGTGGGTTATACATTCGGTTTGCTGAGAACAGAATCGAGAATCGTGTCGTACGTTTTAGTCTGTATCTCCAGATTGCAGGTGTATACGAGGAAACGATTTCGCATGATGCTAGGCGAATGTACTGTGTACGATTTGAGCTCAAGTTGGATGAGTTACTCGTAGTAAATCGTAGGTATTATAAGGCTAGTAAATGACGAATTTCCCTTGTTTATTAAAGTCACACTCCTTCCCTATTATCTACTTTTGATATTACACTTAGGGTTGTGTAGCATTACACTACGCTTAGGTTTAGGGTTGTGTAGCATAACTCTAGGTTTAGGGTTGTGTAGCATAACTCTAGGTTTAGGGTTGTGTAGCATAACTCTAGGGTTAGGTTTATGGTTGTGCAGCATTTGACTACCTAGGGCTAAATTTAGGGTTGTGTAGAATTATACTAGGGTTAGGTTTAGTGTTGTGTAGAATTATAATAGGGTTAGGTTTAAGGTTGTGTAGAATTAGACTAGGTTAAGGGATGTGTAATATTTGACTAAGTTAAGGGATATGTAGCAGTAGACTAGGGTTAGGGCTGTTTAGCATAGTACTGGTTAGCTTACAATCTCAACAACGCGATCCCGGAAGGGGAGGGGGGTGAGACGCGTTGTCCCGTCCCGGCTCGGCGGTCGCCGCGGCGACGTCTCGCGCGAGACACCTACCTCGCGCACCGTGTCTCGCCTCAGCTTCGTCGCCTCGTCCGCCGGCTCGCCAAACTTCTGCGACCCGAGAACCAACGGCCCTGGCTGCGCCGGCACGACCACCGCCGCCGCCGCAGCGGGAGGGTCGGTCTGCTCCGGCGGCGCCACCTGTCTCGCATCGGGCGTCGGCGTGTTTGGTCGCGCGGGCGGCGCGGGCGCGGGCGGACGTTCCGTCGCCGCGGGTTTCGCGACGACGGCTGCGTCCTCTGCGCGGTGACCGAGTTGGTCTCGCAACTTGTCGCGAGCGAGTTCGAACTCGATCTTGGCGTTCAGGTTCGCCTTGTCCATAATTTTGTGCACGTCTGCGACGTCCGCGTCGTCGTGTGAAATTATCCCGGGGATCGCTCCCCTTTTCGGGAGAAGTAGATCCGGTCCGTCCTTCTGTACGCGGCCGCGAAGTTCCGGGAGGAAGAAGAAGGCGCCGAAACATACCGTCACGAAAGTGACGAACACCATAAGAACGACATATTTCTCTCGCAGACGCAGAGTTTTTCTCGTCTGCGGTATCGGTACTCCGTTGACGTACCTCTGATGAGTTGGAAGTATACTATATATCGCTCCGGACGCCATCGTGGTTGTTATCGTTGTCGTCTGCCTGCGGGAATCTCGCGAGCGAGACTGCACACGGTTGCTACGCTCGGTTCGATTCTGTCATCGCGGCCGGAGCGCCGTTACGTCAGCGACATTAAAACAGCGACAGTCTATTCTCCGGGAATCGAACGGATTCGGGAACAGAGCTGCGCGCGCGCCATCGCGCGGCGTATTTCGAAGGTTTTCGCGAGACAGCTGTTCAGTTGTCATTGGGGCAGACTAACATGGCCGCATGATAGTCTGAGTAATTTATGTTCGCGAATTTTCTTTGTTGTTTGCCATTCCAAGCTTGCGTAAAGCTTCAACTTCTTCAGACCAAAAAGTTCAAAGTCGCCACGAAAGGCACATCCGAAAGTTTTTCCGTGTAATTCGTCGCAAGAATCCGGAAATAGTCGTTGAAAATGATGCCTACAGCCGGAAACCGTATCTCCCAGCCTACGGGCAACGAACAGTTTGCTCCCTTCCAGTTAAACGTGGGTATGAACCACCCGGGACAGGTCGCACTTAACCCCCTCGGCCCCACCCACATGGGCGGCCCATCCATGGCCCCGCCGCAGGTGCCGCCACCTAGCGTAAGTGTGCAACAGGTGCAGATCATGACGCTGGACCAGGGACCCTCGTCGCCACTGACAGGTAACTAGGGTAACGCGACTCGCGGACGGTGACGTCAGTGTTCGGGGGGGTTCATGTGTTTCGCATTTAATTCTGAATTTCCGTCTTGCACAACCTGTGCGCTGTCAACACTGGAAACGCTCTCCCTCTCTCTCGCTCGCTCTATCTCTCTCTAAAACCAGTCTATAAAATACAGCGGCCTTCAGAAATTCCGCGGTATTTAGCGTTCACACCGAGGAAATGTGCGCGGCAAGAGATCCGGTATTTCGTCGAAGCACTGGAAATTATTCGGGGTCTGGGAAGCCGCGTATTTACACTAAATACCGATCTGTTTTAGATATCGTATTTCTTGGACGCGTGCATTTTGCTTCGTGTGAACGCTAAATACCAAATTTCTTGGCTACGTGTGAACGCGGCGCTAGTGACTTGCGACTATAGTCCGTTTCATGCGGGAGCGATCACATATGTAATGTAATACATCTTACTGGCATTTTGTTGGTGACTTTATCTAGTGTAGTCCGTACTTTTAATCTTCCCAAAATTTTTTAATATGATCCAAGATATGCTTTGAATATGTTCTTATAGTGTAAAATCCTGTATGTGTCTACATATGTGACCCGCTCCAGCAAAACCAGGATTAAGTAGAAATTCTAAACAAATTGAGTTATGTGCATATCTGAATAGATAATTTAATTACCTTTTAAAATTATAATATAATATTTGGCTATATCTAAAGAATTGACCGTTCTACAGCAATTTAGAAGATACGAAACCGACTTATTCCAGAATAATGCCGAGCTTTTGAGATAAAGCGTTCCGGGTAAGGGCGCGCAGTCGGGGATAAGCGGTCAGGCGGCCGTCAAACACACTTTTTTTCTTTTTTTTAAATTAAAAATGACCATAAATAATCTAGAGAATCTGACAATATATCCGGATTAAATATGCACTTCTAGAAACTTATTTTTGTAAAAATCTCATTTTTGTCCAGGTAGGCCATTTCAGCATTTGACATGTGTGCGTGCTCATTACTCGAACAATGACTTGGAACTTAGTCCGTATTATGCTGGAGTGGGTCACATATGTGATCAGCTATATGTGTAAATGTATGTACTGTGTTCAATCTGGAAATAATAAGAAAACAAAAAAACAAACAACAACAACAACAACGGAGAGCTTTACCATGCACACATGTCATGGAACATTCACCCATGATGTTGAACTCCCCCATGACGACAACAACAACAACAACAACAACAACAACAACAACAACAACAACAACAACAACAACAACAACAGAGAGCTTGACCACGCACACATACCTTCACCCATGGTGCTGAACTCTCCCACGACACAGATGGTCACGAACGTTCGCATGTGCGGCGGCCCACTCTCCTTCACCACCTGTGCAAGAACAACCATGGATCAACAGTAAGAACAATCACTGATCAACAGCAAGAACAACCATGGATCAACAGTAAGAACAATCACTGATCAACAGTAAGAACATCTACGGATCAACAGTAAGAACAATCACGGATCAACAGTAAGAACAATCACTGATCAACAGTAAGAACAATCACTGATCAACAGCAAGAACATCTACTGATCAATAGCACTTACCACTAATCTACAGTAACAACAATCACGAATCAACAGCACAAACAAATAGTGGTCGCCAGCAAGCACTAATGATTAACAGTAAAACAATCAATGATCAATAGTACGAAACAACCGCTGATCGACAGCAAGAATTAGAAATCAATGCTAAGATACATAGACAAAATTGTTTTTTATCATTGCTAAAATCGAGAAACACGATATACACACACACTCGATTTCCCCGGACTCCCCGCCCTGACCGCCGGCGCCCCCTGGAGGCCGCATACCTCAAAGTCGACGGAGAGGTTGTGTTTGAGAGCGATCTCGTGTACGAGGCTGATCGGTGACTTGTTCTCACTGTCCTCGTCCGTACTGTCACCCTGATCCGTGCCAGGTACCTGCATGTGTCAGGGAGAGAGAGAGAGAGATGTGACGTGAAGCCAACAGGGGGAGAACAGAGAAGACAGAGAGACAGAGAGAGAAGAGAGAGAAGAGAGAGAGATCAGAAGAGAGAGAGAGAGAGAGAGAGAGAGAGAGAGAGAGAGAGACGAGAGAGAGAGAGAGAGAGAGAGAGAGAGAGAGAGAGAGAGAGAGAGAGAGACAGAGAAGGAGAGAGAGACCGACAGACACAGCCTGCTATCTGCTGCCGCGCTATCCCCACCTGCTGATTCTCCGTGAACTCTGGAGCGTTCTCCGGCATCGGAAGCTGCTGTATGACCTTGATAGCCTTGACGGCGGCCGTGTGACGCGCCATCTGCCTGGTGGCGCCCTCCCCGATGAACTCGCGATTGCCGACTTTCAGCGACACGTAGAAAACGCGCGGCAGCTTCGGATAGTGGTACCTGAGACGAACGATGGCATGTTTTATGGGCACGCACGTGTCTACATCCACGTATGTGTGCACGCAAATGCACTCAGCACACTTACACACCGCTGCGCGGGCGGGGGTCGTGCTGCACAGAGAGACACGCAGACACACACATGCACACAAACACACACACACACAGTCTTTCAGTCAACGCACGCAACGCACCGCTAGTCGCACGCAGCCGCACGCGACGCGACGGCACAGCAACGCACGCACAGCACCCGCACGCACGCACACACATGCACATGCACATGCACATACCCGCAGGCACACATAAAACCAGCGGACCCTACTCTCATCCCGCTCATCCCCCTCACCACATACATGGCGACACTTTCCCATCTCTAGTTGCAACTACCTGTAGAGGGCACGTTATAGGGCGGGTAGAGGGCGCTACCCAACTCTGGTTGTATGCCGGATAGTCTAGGCTTCGGTACTTGTAAGGCGGGTAGAGGCGCTACCCTACCTCTGTTGTATAGCCGGCAAGTCTAGGTTCGGTACGTTGTAGGGCGGGTAGAGGGCGCTACCTACCTCTGGTTGTATATGCCGCGGAAGTCTAGGTTCGGTACGTTGTAGGGCGGGTAGAGGGCGCTAACCTAACCTCCTGCGTTCGCTATATGCCGCGGAAGTCTAGGTTCTGGTAGGCGTTTATAGGGCGGGTAAGGGCGGCTACCTACGCTCTGTTGTATATACCTCGCGGAAGTCAGGTTCGGTACGTTGTAGGCGGGTAGAGGCGCTACCATACCTCTGTTGTATATGCCGCGGAAGTCTAGTTGTCGATTGTAGGGGCGGGTAAGGTGCGCTACCTACCCTCTGGTTGTATAATGCCGCGGAAAGTCTAGTTCGTAACGTTGTAGGCGGTAGAGGGCGCACCTACCTCTGGTTATATCCGCGGAAGTTATAGGTTCGTACGTTGTAGGCGGGTAGAGGGCGCTTACCTACCTCTGGTTGATATGCCGCGGAAAGTCTAGGTTCGGTAACGTTTGTAGGGGCGGGTAGAGGGCGCTACCTACCTCTGGTGCTATATGCCGCGGAAAGTCTAGGTTCGGTACGTTGTATGCGCGGGTAGAGGCGCGCTACCTACCCTGGTTTATAATGCGCGAAGTCTTAGGTTACGGACTTGTCAGGGCGGGTAGACGGGCGGTACCTACCTCTGGTTGTATATGCTGGCGGAAGTCTCGGTTCCGGTAAAAAAACGTTGTAGGCCGGGTAGAGGGCGCTACTACCATCTGCTCGTTGTATATCCGCGGAAGTCTAGGTTGGTGTACGTTGTAGGGCGGTAGAGGGCTAACCTACCCTCTGTTGTCATATTGCCGGCGGAAGTCTAGGTTCGGTACGTTGTATAGGGCGGGTAGAGGGCCTACCTATCCCTCTGGTTTGGTTATATGCCCGCGGAAAGTCTAGGTTGGGTATTGCTAGGCGGGTAGAGGGCGCGTACCTACGCTCTGTTGTATATGCCCCCAACGGAATCCAGGTTGGGTACGTTGTAGGGCGCGGTAGAGGGCGCTACCTACCTCTGAGTTGATAGCCGCGTAAGTCTAGGTTCGTACTGTAGGGCGGGTCAAGGCGCTACCCTACCTCCTGTGTAATATGCGCGGCGGAAGTCTAGGTTCGTACGTGTAGTGGCGGTAAGGGCGCTACCTACCTCTGGTTGTATATGCCGCGGAAGTCTAGGTTCGGTACGTTGTAGGGCGGGTAGAGGGCGCTACCTACCTCTGGTTGTATATGCCGCGGTAAGCTTAGGGTTGCGGTACGTTGTAGGGCGGGTATAGGGCGCTACTAACCTCTGGTTGTATATGCCAGGAAGTCTAGTTCGTACGTTGTAGGCGGGTAGAGGGCGCTAACACCTCTGGTGAAATATGCGCGGAAGTCTATGGTTCGGTAATTGTAGGCGGGTAGAGGCGGCTACCTACCTCTGGTTGTATATGCCGGCGGAAGTCTAGGCTTGGGCATCGCGTGTTAGGGTCGGGTGCCGCGGAGGTTCGATCTGCAATGAGAGGGCGAGTTCTCCTCGCGCATCGCGAGAGCGTTCAACTCCTCAGTCGGATGACGTTCATGTATTGTCGCGGGAAAGCGGCTGTGCTGCCTGCAAGAGAGAGAGATGGGTGAGCGAGCCGACAAGCGCGGCCACGTTGAGGCGAGTTCCACGCACATCGCCGGTCGCGCGATCGATATTATTATCGTATCATTATGTTATTGATGTATTCTGTTTAGAAATTAGTTCGAAAGTTTATTCTTATTGTATTTCTATTAGTATGATTCCCATCAATCGTATTGGCACTTCGCATTGTATTGACTGTAAGATTGTGTATGTAATATCTGTATGCCCTATATTGTAAAGGTATTGTATCAAATTGTATTTACTAAGGACGTGCCGTGACAACATAAGAATACTTTTCACGTTCAACGCCTCGGATCAAAACTCTTCTCAAAAAAACGCCAGAAATGCGAAACTCTTCTCCGAACGAAAAATGAACTACTTCGACAGCGAAAAACAGAGAGCGTCTGACGTACTCGTATCGCAAGGGCGGGTGCCGCATCTTCAGTCTGCGTTCCATACGCTCATCGCCGGGCGGCGAGTGCTGCGCTTTCTTGATGCTGGCGGCCCTCTGCAGTGTACTCTTCGGCTTCCGCGCAGCTTCAGTTGCACCTGGAAGGTCTTCTTGTGCGCCGGTCTCGCTCCGTCGATCAGCTAGAGGG